GGGTACTATATAGACTACACTGTAGTATACATTACACCACTATATAGACTATATTGTAGTATACATTACGGTACTATATAAACTATATTGTAGTATACATTACACTACTATATAGACTACACTGTAGTATACATTACACTACTATATAGACTACACTGTAGTATACATTACACTACTATATAGACTACACTGTAGTATACATTACACTACTATATAGACTACACTGCAGTATACATTACACTACTACATAGACTACACTGTAGTATACATTACACTACTACATAGACTACACTGTAATATACATTACGGTACTATATAGACTACACTGTAGTATACATTACACTACTATATAGACTACACTGTAGTATACATTACGGTACTATATAGACTACACTGTAGTATACATTACACTACTATATAGACTACACTGTAGTATACATTACGGTACTATATAGACTACACTGTAGTATACATTACACTACTATATAGACTACACTGTAGTATACATTACGGTACTATATAGACTACACTGTAGTATACATTACACTACTATATAGACTACACTGTAGTATACATTACGGTACTATATAGACTACACTGTAGTATACATTACACTACTATATAGACTACACTGTAGTATACATTACGGTACTATATAGACTACACTGTAGTATACATTACACTACTATATAGACTACACTGTAGTATACATTACGGTACTATATAGACTACACTGTAGTATACATTACACTACTATATAGACTACACTGTAGTATACATTACGGTACTATATAGACTACACTGTAGTATACATTACACTACTATATAGACTACACTGTAGTATACATTACGGTACTATATAGACTACACTGTAGTATACATTACACTACTATATAGACTACACTGTAGTATACATTACGGTACTATATAGACTACACTGTAGTATACATTACACTACTATATAGACTACACTGTAGTATACATTACGGTACTATATAGACTACACTGTAGTATACATTACACTACTATATAGACTACACTGTAGTATACATTACGGTACTATATAGACTACACTGTAGTATACATTACACTACTATATAGACTACACTGTAGTATACATTACGGTACTATATAGACTACACTGTAGTATACATTACACTACTATATAGACTACACTGTAGTATACATTACGGTACTATATAGACTACACTGTAGTATACATTACACTACTATATAGACTACACTGTAGTATACATTACGGTACTATATAGACTACACTGTAGTATACATTACGGTACTATATAGACTACACTGTAGTATACATTACGGTACTATATAGACTACACTGTAGTATACATTACGGTACTATATAGACTACACTGTAGTATACATTACGGTACTATATAGACTACACTGTAGTATACATTACGGTACTATATAGACTACACTGTAGTATACATTACGGTACTATATAGACTACACTGTAGTATACATTACGGTACTATATAGACTACACTGTAGTATACATTACGGTACTATATAGACTACACTGTAGTATACATTACGGTACTATATAGACTACACTGTAGTATACATTACGGTACTATATAGACTACACTGTAGTATACATTACGGTACTATATAGACTACACTGTAGTATACATTACGGTACTATATAGACTACACTGTAGTATACATTACGGTACTATATAGACTACACTGTAGTATACATTACGGTACTATATAGACTACACTGTAGTATACATTACGGTACTATATAGACTACACTGTAGTATACATTACGGTACTATATAGACTACACTGTAGTATACATTACGGTACTATATAGACTACACTGTAGTATACATTACGGTACTATATAGACTACACTGTAGTATACATTACGGTACTATATAGACTACACTGTAGTATACATTACGGTACTATATAGACTACACTGTAGTATACATTACGGTACTATATAGACTACACTGTAGTATACATTACGGTACTATATAGACTACACTGTAGTATACATTACGGTACTATATAGACTACACTGTAGTATACATTACGGTACTATATAGACTACACTGTAGTATACATTACGGTACTATATAGACTACACTGTAGTATACATTACGGTACTATATAGACTACACTGTAGTATACATTACGGTACTATATAGACTACACTGTAGTATACATTACGGTACTATATAGACTACACTGTAGTATACATTACGGTACTATATAGACTACACTGTAGTATACATTACGGTACTATATAGACTACACTGTAGTATACATTACGGTACTATATAGACTACACTGTAGTATACATTACGGTACTATATAGACTACACTGTAGTATACATTACGGTACTATATAGACTACACTGTAGTATACATTACGGTACTATATAGACTACACTGTAGTATACATTACGGTACTATATAGACTACACTGTAGTATACATTACGGTACTATATAGACTACACTGTAGTATACATTACGGTACTATATAGACTACACTGTAGTATACATTACGGTACTATATAGACTACACTGTAGTATACATTACGGTACTATATAGACTACACTGTAGTATACATTACGGTACTATATAGACTACACTGTAGTATACATTACGGTACTATATAGACTACACTGTAGTATACATTACGGTACTATATAGACTACACTGTAGTATACATTACGGTACTATATAGACTACACTGTAGTATACATTACGGTACTATATAGACTACACTGTAGTATACATTACGGTACTATATAGACTACACTGTAGTATACATTACGGTACTATATAGACTACACTGTAGTATACATTACGGTACTATATAGACTACACTGTAGTATACATTACGGTACTATATAGACTACACTGTAGTATACATTACGGTACTATATAGACTACACTGTAGTATACATTACGGTACTATATAGACTACACTGTAGTATACATTACGGTACTATATAGACTACACTGTAGTATACATTACGGTACTATATAGACTACACTGTAGTATACATTACGGTACTATATAGACTACACTGTAGTATACATTACGGTACTATATAGACTACACTGTAGTATACATTACGGTACTATATAGACTACACTGTAGTATACATTACGGTACTATATAGACTACACTGTAGTATACATTACGGTACTATATAGACTACACTGTAGTATACATTACGGTACTATATAGACTACACTGTAGTATACATTACGGTACTATATAGACTACACTGTAGTATACATTACGGTACTATATAGACTACACTGTAGTATACATTACGGTACTATATAGACTACACTGTAGTATACATTACGGTACTATATAGACTACACTGTAGTATACATTACGGTACTATATAGACTACACTGTAGTATACATTACGGTACTATATAGACTACACTGTAGTATACATTACGGTACTATATAGACTACACTGTAGTATACATTACGGTACTATATAGACTACACTGTAGTATACATTACGGTACTATATAGACTACACTGTAGTATACATTACGGTACTATATAGACTACACTGTAGTATACATTACGGTACTATATAGACTACACTGTAGTATACATTACGGTACTATATAGACTACACTGTAGTATACATTACGGTACTATATAGACTACACTGTAGTATACATTACGGTACTATATAGACTACACTGTAGTATACATTACGGTACTATATAGACTACACTGTAGTATACATTACGGTACTATATAGACTACACTGTAGTATACATTACGGTACTATATAGACTACACTGTAGTATACATTACGGTACTATATAGACTACACTGTAGTATACATTACGGTACTATATAGACTACACTGTAGTATACATTACGGTACTATATAGACTACACTGTAGTATACATTACGGTACTATATAGACTACACTGTAGTATACATTACGGTACTATATAGACTACACTGTAGTATACATTACGGTACTATATAGACTACACTGTAGTATACATTACACTACTATATAGACTACACTTTAGTATACATAACGGTACTATATAGACTACACTGTAGTATACATTACGGTACTATATAGACTATATTGTAGTATACATTACGGGACTATATAGACTACACTGTAGTATACATTACACTTCTATATAGACTACACTTTAGTATACATAACGGTGCTATATAGACTACACTGTAGTATACATTACAATACTATATAGACTATATTGTAGTATACATTACACTACTATATAGACTATATTTGGTAGCAGTATATTTGATATCATGAATTATCTATTGTTGTACATATATATGTCCATCCCTTGTGTTACTAGTTGTAAACAGCTAGGCATTGGGTAAGTTAAATGTCGATTGGATAAGTATTGGTCTATTCATATAACCAACGGTTACCCATTAGATATATGAAAAAGGCACGACTTATCCAATAGTTGCACAAGGCCAGCACTCCGAAACGTCCCAACGTGGATTGCGTGTAAACAGTTCAAACTGAATAGAGAAGGAAACCTTGAATGTAATGCTTGATGAAATTATTGATCAACTTCTATGTAAACACATGAAAAATAACAAAACCAAAAACAAATCCCTGTTTGATTAGAAACTCTTCAAAACTTAGCATTAATTACCGGCAAGTATTATAAATATAATATAAATTAGTATTACTGTTACTAATATATGAATACCTGCAATGTTAAATATTAATAAGTAAAAGTTACTTTAGATTAATTAATAAATTAAAATGAATGTACTTATTTCAACTTTGGCCAGCTGCTATTCAGACCATTAGCCCTTCTGCTTACCAAGTACTTCACTAAAGACAGCATCGGTGACTGAATCTTGCTGCCTCTTAAAGATATTTGAGTGATAAACAAATGATCTTTCAGTTTGATTATGCCTCCATTTACATATGCACAAATGACCATGAACACCTGCATTGGGTATCTATTTATTGGTCATAAATATTGATCAAAACACCTAAGGTTTTCTTAATATATTTTAATAAGCATCTCATTCGGAACACCTCTGACTGTGCTTATGTGTGTGTAGATGAATAGTGGAACAGGAAAAGTGCGTGGGTGAATGTGTTTACAGGTGAAAGCTCTAGTTCTCTTCATAGAATATCCAAACCTTTTTGGTGCTCACCATGGGTACATAATATATTGTGTAAAGTTTTTTTAAGTAAGACAAACCACTGTTTAGGTGTTGGATGAACCAGTGCTAGCACCCTGTCTCGGTCCTTTGGCCCTGGACAGGTAGTGCTTTCACTTGCTGATCTATCACCAACTTCTGAATTATCCTTCCCATATAAAATTGTAATTTATATATATTAAATAGTGTATATTCACTTTATCACAATATAAACTATATTGCAGTACACATTGGTGATCCTCGATTTGTTATGCTTTGTGATTTAAATAATGCAGATACTAGTTCCTTGAATCACCGAAATCTTGCTGGGATGGTTATAGTGATCAGGTTCTTGCATGTACTGTGCGAACATAATTGACTAATTGATGATGGAGCGGTATCCTTTGCAGTCGATTGAACTCTGAACCACAACAGCAGATTGGGTTTCTGTTCCGGCGGGGAAGGTCTATCATGTATCCTTTGCAGTAAAGTAATTCGTTAATTGTGAATATATATGTATTTTGTGTAGTAAGGTCCAGAAAAGGGTTCCTCTGTCATGTTTCTTTATATCTTATATGCAATTAAACCATGCATCTATTTCGTATATCCATTGTAAAGTTAAATACTTTAAACTATAAGCCATATTTTGCGTCATTTGTAGTACCTGGAGTCTGCTATCAAAAAGAACGATAGTGCACTTTGGTATGGACTAACACATTGAGCCACCAAGCTGTATTGTGTAATATTTAAAGTACGTAAGACATCGAGTCGTGCAGCTCTACCGCGTATTACATAGAACCTGTAGTGGTAAGTAGATGTTCGTTAAGCCTAAATGTCCCATATTTATAACCTAATACATGGATACAAAGAATTATCATAGCACATCTTGGTTTGTGAAGTCTATCTGTCCTAGACACTTCTGGTAGGGACTTTGTGGGGGACTGCCTGCCCCTTCAGATGGCTTGAGTATATTTATTCCGGAATCGGAGCTTGACGAGTCATGGCGATCCTTCTCCTTTAAGAAAAAAAATATGCAAACAATTAAAAGCACAATGCAATAATTTTCGTTCGGTTGTGTAATATTGACTTCATTATTGAAATTGTTACTTATGAAATAAAGCAGATGCGTCAAAAATATAACACAATATCTTCCTTACGTGATTAATTTACATTTAACGACAAAGTTATCCTCTTTCTGTCTCCCTTTTCGCTAGCAATCGAAATGCGGCTATTGAAGTGTTTAGTGAAGACATCCTGCCTAAACCGTTTTCGTTATAGGAATGATAGATTGTTTTTTCTGGAACGAAAAACGGAACTATTGTCTCTCTCAATCAGTCAGGTTAACGTCAGAGAAAACAATTCAACATACAAGTGAAATGTACATCAAATGAATGATTCGCTATCCGTCTGTTAACAGGTACCCTAACGAATGATTCGAAATCCGTCTGTTAACAGGTACATTGTACCCTATCACTTTTACATCAAATGAATGATTCGCATTCCGTCTGTTAACAGGTACCCTAATGAATGATTCGCATTCCATCTGTTAACAGATAGTTTAATGAATGAGTCCCATTCCGTCTGTTAACAGGTACCCAAATAGATTATTCGCAATCCGTCTGTTAACAGGTACCCTATCACGTTTACATCAAATGCATGATTCGCATTCCGTCTGTTAACAGGTACCCTTTCACGTTTACATCAAATGAATGATTCGCAATTCGTCTGTTACCAGGTACCCTAACGAATGATTCGAAATCCGTCTGTTAACAGGTACCCAAACGAATGATTCGAAATCCGTCTGTTAAGAGGTACATTGTACCCTATCACGTCTACATCAAATGCATGATTCGCATTCCGTCTGTAAACAGGTACCCTAATGAATGATTCGCAATCCGTCTGTTAACAGGTACCCTAATACATTATTCGCTATCCGTCTGTTAACAGGTACCCTATCACTTTTACATCAAATGAATGATTCGCATTCCGTCTGTTAACAGGTACCCTAATGAATGATTCGCATTCCGTCTGTTAACAGGTACCCTATCACGTTTACATCAACTGAATGATTCGCAATCCGTCTGTTAACAGGTACCCTAATGAATGATTCTCAATCCGTCTGTTAACAGGTACCCTAATACATTATTCGCTATCCGTCTGTTAACAGGTACCCTATCACTTTTACAAGTTTATCAAGACTAAGACGTGAACTAGAACACTTATATAGAAACCACGGCATCAGGGTTAGGGTTAGGGTTAGGGTTAGGTCAGGTGACTAGACTATATAGATACCACGACATCAGCACAAAAAAACTTGGAATCACAGGGAATCATTCTGACTAACTGCATGGCTCTCAATCTTCAAATAGGTAAAGTCCGTGAAGATATTTATATGGTTAAAACATTAATCTTAGTGCATGAGCCACTGTGCTATTTGAATTACATTCTATAACAATATTATCGTTTCAAATACTAACATGGTTAAATTGCCTGTATATACTGACTTTGTCATTGGTGCTAACACATTTTGTACGGACGAGGGGACTCCGTTTAGGCTGTAGAGGAGACTTATCGCCATTATTGATGATAGGGGCCAAAAGAGTAGCACATTGTGATGACGGAGATCCGTGGGGCGACTTGTCCGTGTGCATCTGCCCAGCAAGGCACGACAGCGGAATCTTGAAGATACTCTGTGAGTTCGTCCGACATTTACCTTAAAATAAATGTAAGTACAGCATTATCAATTGAACATCTTTGGTAGAACATCTTTTGGTAAAACGTAATCTATCACACAACCTGACCTCTGTAACTTTGAATGCAGGTGATGGTAATTCATTTGAGCAAGTTTAGTAACCCTTCATCCTAGCATGCTACTGGCTAAATATAATCATCCTGGCCTTTATTTTTGTTTATGAGATTTCGTTTAAAGGTTCCAACATATTTGACCCCTGCGACCTTGAATATGGGTGAAGGTCATTCATTTAAAAAACTTGGTATCCCTTCATCCTACCATACTTCTTGCCAAATATCACCAACCTGGACCTTTTTGTTATTCGGAAGAATTCGTTTAAAATAATGCAATATATTTGACCCCTATGACCTTGAATATGGGTGAAGGTAATTCATTAGAACAAACTTGATAGCCCTTCATCCCAGCATGCTACTGGCTAAGTACCATCTCTCTAGGCATTTTAGTTATTCAGAAGAATTCGTTTAAATGTTCGATAAGACAATTGAACCCTATGACCTTAAATATGAGTGAAGGTCATTCATGTGAACAAATGTTGTAACCATTCACCCAAGTATTCTACTGGCAGAATTTCATCATCTTAGGCATTTTTGTTAATCAAAAGATGGCGCTTAACATATTTCAATATATTTGACCCATGTGACCTTGGATTTGGGTGAAGGTCATTCATTTGAACAAACTTTGTATCCCTTTCTGCCATCATGCTTCTGGCGAAATATCATCACCCTGGACCTTCTGGTTATTCAAAAGAAGTCGTTTAAAAGATTTCAAAATATTTGACCCCTGTGAACTTGAATATGTGTGAAAGTCATTCATTTTAACAAACCTAAAGCCTTTTATGCCAGTATTCTGCCATTTGGTCATTCAAAAGAAGTCGTTGAAAAGATTTGAACATATTTGACACCTGTGACCTTGAATGTGGGGGAAGGCTATTCATTTGAATAAACTTGGTAGCCCTTTATCCCAGCATGTTACTAGCTAAATATCATCACTGTAGGCATATTGGTTTTTCAGAAGTAGTCGTTTAAAAGTTGTATAAGACAATTGACCTCTCTGACCTTCAATATAAGTGCAGGTCGTTCATTTGAACAAATGTTGTAGCCCTTCCTCCAAACATGCTACTGGCTAAATAGTATCACCCCTACGTTTTTTGGTTATTAAGAAGTCGATTAAAATAAAATGTTGACGCCGAACGACGAAGGAATATATACCGTAGATATATATCATGACATTTATTAAATAACATTAGAATATTAACCGTATGTTAAAACAAAAATATATAGGAAACAATTACCGTATGTAGTAGACATTGATTAAAATACATTGGAATATTTATCGTACGTAATAGAAGACAATGATTAATATACAAATAGGACTATTTATCGTATGTAGAATGCTATTTACCGTATGTAAAAGGAAATACTGATTAAAAATATATAGGAATATTTAACGTATGTAAAAGGAGGCAATGATTGATTTATCTAGGCAAATAATCGTATGTAGAAGGAGACACTTAGTAAAATAAACTGGAATATCAACCGTTTGTAGGTGACACTGATTGAAATATGTAGGATTATTTTCCGTATGTTGAAGGAGACACTGATTGAAATATGTAGGATTATTTAATGTATGTAGAAGGAGGCACATACTGAAATATGTAGGATTATTTACCGTATGTTGAAGGAGACACTGATTGAAATATGTAGGATTATTTAATGTATGTAGAAGGAGGCACATACTGAAATATGTAGAATTATTTACCGTATGTAGAAGGAGACACTGACTGAAATGTGTAGGATTATTTAACGTATGTAGAAGGAGATACTGACTGAAATGTGTTGGATTATTTACCGTATGTAGAAGGAGACACTGACTGAAATATGTAGGATTATTTACCGTATGTAGAAGGAGACACTGACTGAAATGTGTAGGATTATTTACCGTATGTAGAAGGAGA